GGAAGAAGAAGAAGAAGAAGAAGAAGAAGAAGAAGAAGAAGAAGAAGAAGAAGAAGAAGAAGAAGAAGAAGAAGAAGAAGAAGAAGAAGAAGCCCTACAACCCCCACAGCCCTCTCCCCTCTTTTTCTCAACCTGCTTCTCCTAATAGGAGCTCATCTATGGACCTTCTGAGCTGTGATGTGATGTCACGAGTGGTCCATTTCACAGGTGCATGCAATCTCCTCCACGCTGTGGTAGGCTGTGAGGACGCAGAGGCACTCTGCGCTTAGCGCTGGATCGCTCCCCAGCGTATTTCATTATAAGCACACAAACCTCCCAAAGTATAAAGGAAACCCAAACTCCAAACCACACTGGTGGCAACATTTGAGATGAGATTACTTGGACCTTCAGAGGGGGGACAAAGACTGTGCACTGAGAGGTCTGATATGTGTCCACAGGCTACTTCCAGAAAGGATCATTTAAATAGCTTTTTATTGGTGTTTTTATTAGTGTTTCTTAGGCAAGTACATTTATGAACATCACCATATATCACGTATTTTGTGTGTATTGTTTTCTGTAAAGAAAATGACCCCTGCTCAGTCACATGGCTGGGTTTGGGGGTGGAGCAGCATGTGATCCAACATGGCATATCGTGTGGCCAACCAGATAACCAAAGACTCCTATCATTTATATTAATCCAACCATGTGTCCCTCTAAACCTTAAGTTTCGACGCAGAGCCCTGGAAAGCAGGAACTACGGTTCTCACCTTCTTGCATTGAGCAGGAGAAGACAGTGCATGAGACACAGGAAGAAGCTGACGTTGGAGTTGTAGGTGGCGAACACGACATCCCAGTGCACCTGAAGGAACTCTAAGATGCTCAGCAAGTGGAGACATTCAGACAGGGACTGCTGGGGCTTGGAGAGGCAGTAAAGAATGACTTTGTTCAGACTGCTGTACAAAGTGCTGATGACAGTGTCCCTTTGAGAAGAGGGGTTCTCGATGACCTATAGGTAAAAACAAGAAACACGTGCACACCTGTGAGTACCTGGCAATATGCAGTAGGGACCCAGGTTACTACAAACACCATGCAACCCAAGAAGTGACAGGATATGCAGTTCAAATAACTCTTGGCTCCTCTACTTTTGAGGCTCTACCTAAGGGAGTGATCGTTTAAGCAAATTCAGAATTTGGGTAAAAACCTTGTGTTAAGAAAGTTAAATTTCACCAAGATCATATTGTTGAAAATGAATTTGGTCACCAGAGATTTCTGAAATATTGGTGGCATGGCTGACATTCAGCATATCAGAAGGTCAGTGAGTAATAGCTAATTTCTTAAAATAGGTTCATACCATTTTTAGTAATTATTATCACTTATAACATTCCTGGCATTATGATAAGCATTGTTGATATTGATTGGCAATTTAAACGTACTGTCTTGTTTAACTGTCATAACACCATATATAGACACAGAGAAGACCCCACCTTAACCATAAGAGGTCAAAGGTCAGAGATCAAGGGTCAGCAAGAATCAATCCCACTGCAGACACTGGAGCCATGCTTGCCACATCCTGTCATCTGACAGAGGTGGGAACCACCTGGGTTTAGCTTATGAGAAACGCAGGAGGAGCAAGGCAGAAGGTCCTGGATTGCAGCCTCAGCAGGGACTGGTTCATACAAGGGCAGGGTGTAGGGAAAGGGGTCCTTAGAACACAACATGGGCAAAGCATTGCAGTGAGCTAGACAAGCTACGTACTAGTCACAGATGTCCCTTAGACCTCCTCAAGCAGTACAGGTCGCCTACTCCAAGAAGCCAGGGCTTAACCCCCCATTGAGATTTGGGGTTCATGTGTACATCACCATCCTCTCCTGCTCCTCCAATGAGCGCACTTCTCAGAACAGTTAAGGGCACAGGCACTCGAGTAGAAGAGGAAGCTGGGCATGAGGACAGCAGGGCCTGAGGCCTGCAGCCCAGGCGCCCTGGCCCCAGTGGGACCAACTCTTTGGGTTGGTGCTGAACAACTGCTTTGGTCACTGCAGCTCTGTTCCTTCTCTAAACAGCTTCCCAAGGGTCTCATTTTTACCCCCTCAGAGCTGACCAGGATGTTTTCTCCCTGCTGGAGTCATTCCTGAAGGGACCCCCAAATCCATTCTTTCCAGTCTTCTGGAACTGGCTATCACCCTAGAAACTGCTGAGGCTGGGTCCTGGGTCTGTGGGTGGTAGCTTCAGAAAGAAAGGCCTGCCCAATGCCCAAGATGACCCAGAAGGTGGGGCAAAACATGCTGAAGCCTTGGTCACAGGGAAGGTCTACAAGGGAGGCACACAGCAGCTCTTCAGGAGGACCCCAGCAGCCAAGGAGACAAGTGTGTAAGAACATGAGACTTTCAGGTGCCACAATTCTGTTGCACACACACACACACACACACACACACGCACGCACGCACACACACACACCTGCATCAAGAGTTGGCTCCATTGGCACCCACTGGCATGCACTGCCCACATGGGCACAAACATAGACATATGTGTATGCAAACAGAGGACACAGGTGAGAGCACTGGAACCAGGCAGAGTAGAGTCCTGCCTCCACTTCAGAAAGCACAAGGACGACAGGTGGAGGGCAAATTAAAGAAGAAAATGAAATCAGTTTTCTGGAGTCAAGGGCCTTTGGGCCTTGTGTGGGAAATGGCTGACAGTGACAAGGTTAAATCCAGGTCAGTAAAGCCTCAGAAAGGAGGAAGTAGAGGTTGCAGAGCTGTGTGCAGGCAGGGAGCTGAGGGCCCAGAGGTCACGGACAGAGTCATGGCGCTGCACAGGGCGCTGTAGTTCCCAGCACTGTGCAGGGCACCAGATGGTCTAGCGCTGGCTCTTCAAGGCACCAGGGAAGCCCTCATCACTTCCCTCTTCCCCACCTACCTCAGGCTATTTCCAAATAGGACGGCAGATGCAGCCCTACGGAGCCCGTTTTCTGCTGATTCCTGGTGGCAGCCTAGGCGCCTTCTCCTGAATCACTTACCACCATGATGTGCTCCGTGAGGAAGAGCAGGATGTGCTTGGGGTCTGCCGAGAACATGCCACCATACAGCTTCTCCACCAGCCGCTGGGCGAAGTGGGAGATGTTCCAGAGGGAGGGCGCAACAGCAGCCTCTGTGCTTGGCTGAGGCTCGCTACTGCCTGAGTGGGGGACAGTGACATCCCTGGATGGCCTCCAACCCCTCATGGCCACCAGTCACATTGTCCCACCTCACTCTCCCCCTATCCAAGGTGGGGTCTTGGCACCCACTGAACAGTCAGGCCTCAGAGTAAACCCATGTTAGTGAGCTAGCTGCTGACTGGAACCCAGTGGTGAAACTCAAGTAAGGGAGGCTCCCCCATGATTTTGGAACAAGAGTGGGTGCCTTTAATGCCTAAGCCAAACAGGAAGGCACTGTGGTGACTGAGGCTGCATCACACAGGGAAGAGGGCAAAGCTGCACTGTGGGCAGCCTGCCAGGCCCGGCTCTGCCCTGACTTGGCCTCCACGGTGCTCCCACTCGCAGCTCCAGCCTCATCCCATCACAGCACTACTGCGAGTTACAAGGCCAGAGCTGGGTGCCAGCTGCATGCACTCCAGTGCGTTCAGGAGGGAAGCCTGAGAGCAAGGGGAAGAGGCCCGAAGGGGCGGGGCCCGAGGGGAGGGGCCCGGAGCAGGGGGAGGAGCCTATCACTCAGAACGGCTCCACCCACTCTGCTCTGCAGCTGAGCTCCCTAGCACAGGCCTTGCGTGCTGCGGCGCAGAGGCCACGCCCCGCCATGGTCACTGTGTGCCTCATGGGGTCACACTGCTGATATCCTGCTCATCACTGTGCAGCTCCATACCCGGGTCAGGAGGACCAAGCCACTCTTACCTCGGAGAAGCAGGGTGCTGCCCACGCTGGGATTGTGGAAGATTTCCATGGTGGCCAGCAGGACCTCAGACTGGAAGTCTCGCTTCTGCTGCCCACTGGCATTGTCTGGAGAGGCCTGAAACACAGCCGGGTCCCTGTGCCACTGCGTGTCCGTGACACCAATGCCTGCCCCTGCTTAGGAGCACTTCCCTCTGCTGTCCAGCTACTCGGGGGCCATAGGAAGCCCACAGTGACGGCCACCCAGCCAGTGGGTGCCCCAAGCTGAGGCCCCTGGGACCAGTTTCCAGCTGACTCCTCAGGGCTGGCTTCCCTCTCTCCTTCTCAGATCAGCACCTTCCCTCCCCACCCCATAAATTCCTCTGCAAAACCCTTGCCTCAGGCTCAGCATCTGCACACCCTGCCCTCGTTCACCCTGCCCCAAGCCTCCAAAGGACCCACGATGACCATGCCCTTCCCCACTCACCTCCAGGAACACATCCAGCGGCTGCCACTGCTTGGGGCTGGGGGCTCCGAGCAACAGCTCCCTCAGCAAACCCTGTGTGAACTCCCTCAGCTGCCTCTGGCCAGGGTGGAAGACAGCAGGAGCCTGGGGATCCTCTGTGGTGCTGCTCCCATCAGCTGCAGCTCCAGGACTGCTGGTGCTCCCGGTGGACTCGGCTGAAGAGCCCTGGACGACAAAGGGCCCATGAGAAGTGCAGCTTGGCCTCGCACAGACAGCCTTGATGCCAGCGCATAAGCCAGGTGCCACCTGCCCAGCTGCTAAGGGGGCTGCTGTGACCTGGGGACCTGAGATGGCCAGGAGTGTGTGAAGGAGCTGAGCCTCAGCTCATCACTGCTCCAAGCCAGCTGCTGGCAGCTGACGGTAGGCATGGAGAAGATGTCACCAAGGCTTAGGAGAGGAGAAGGGATGCAGTGATCCCTGGCTCCTGCCTCATGGTCAGGTCTCTGAAGAGCCCTCCTGCTTTTTGCACTGCTTTTTATTTGAGGTTTATGAAGCTTCCAGGAGACTGTGACACAAGGATCATTTTCTAGGCCACCTCTCCTGGAGGACAAGGAGGTGCCAGAGGCTGGTGACACATCCAAGGACACTGGCCACAGCCTGACTCTGGCCCTCCAACTTCTCTTGCATCTTCCTCTGGTAGCACCTCCCTTTGCTCATTCATAAAACTAATGCAGCCATTCTTAATTAAGCCATAAAATGAATTTAATGGCACCTAGGGAGGTAGTGACTGCATTAATTAGCTCCATGTGGCCTCAACTGGAAAGATGCCATATAAATAATCCCAAAGCCTTATGACCATAGATTTTTGTGGAAACAGGGTCCACCATGACCCTGGGCAGCACAGCCTGGCAGAACTAACTAGGGGCTGGAACCAGGAATGGAGGGGCCTTGGCATTGGAGTCAGGAGCCCCAGACAGGCACTGCTGGCCCATGGGGCACCGGCTGCCTGGAAAGGGGGCTTTGGGCTGGGCCCTCCTTCCTCAGGAAGCTCCTGGTTACCATGGTGAGGAGCCCAGACTGGCTCAGCAAAGCCAGGCTGGGGCCCAGAGGTGGGCCCCAGGGTTGAGGTGTCAGGCCTTAGACTCAGGGCCCTGGTCCTAGGCAGGGGTGAAAGGGCAGAGCAAGAGTTGGCCCCTCTTGGCCTGGCCTGCAAGCGTGACCCCTGAATCTCCATTTCTATACTCCTTCCATACTCTCTATGGCCTTTTTTTCACTCTTACTACCTCAGTAAGTTGCCTGAATTGATGTTAATCCATCAAACCACTTGGGGGCCAATTTTCCTTTTTTATGTATCTTCTCTTTTTCATTAAAACTGATTACATTAATCCCTTAGTTCCCAAGGGGGTTGGTTACAAGTCTCTCTAAGGGTACCAAATTCTGCAGGAATTCATATTCCTTATATAAGATGGTATAATGTTTCCTGTATAATTTATCCTTTGGTGATTTATGATGCCTATTACAATGTAAGTGCTATGGAAATAGCTGCTATATTGTGTTATTTAGGTGTACAGACTTCTTTCCTCCAGACCAAGGAAAGAAGTCTGTACACCTTCAGCATGGATAAAACTTTCTTAAAACTCCTTTCTTTCCGGAATTGCTTAGACCCCCAGAAACAGAGACCCAGGTTACAGAAGACTGCCTGCTCTCTCACACTTCATTTGGTAATTAAATTTTATTTTAAGCCAGCCATAATGAAAGGGGCACCTGACCTCCCACAGACCCTGGCCACAGTCACCTTCTCCAGCTTGGGGGGGAGACTTTGGGAGGGCAGAGTGGAGTTTAGGTCTTGGCTGTGTGGCACATTAATCCCAGGATCTGTGGCACATCTCAGTCCCTCAGTAGTTCTGTGACATGCTCCTTACCACCCTCTGATTCGCAAGGACTCTGAGCACCACTTTGTCTCTGAACCTCAGTTTCCTTTCCTTGATAGCAACTCTATGGGAATTACAGAGTCACTATACAGTGTCACTACAGAGTGACATAAAGCTTAAGGCTTGGGACCAGTGTGTCACAGGGTTCCATAGATGGATGCTGTCACCACAGATACACTCCTGGGAAAGGTTAGCCAGGAGACACAAGACTTTGTCCTCCAGACCAAGTGAGTCCTTCTGTCCCCTCTTCTGGCTTGCCTGGCCCCACGCTGGGTCTTCCCAACCCCCTGACTGGCAGAAGCCTGAGCTGTGTCCCAAACAAGGGACTATCTCCATTGCCATGCCAGATGTCCACACAGAACTGGAACTGTTCTACCATCATATTATTCACTACTGAGCTTCCTGACAACTTGAAAAGAAAGCTATTGCATCTTGGAGCTGAAAATGACCTTAAATCTCAACCAAGAAAAGGGAAATTGCTAGAGCTGTTTATTAACACTTCAATCCCACAGCCTCAAATGTATCTCAACTTTGGGAAGTGGAGATGCATTAGCCCTTCAGCAGAGAAAGATGAGGAAGTCCTTGACCCCCTCCCTGGGTGGGTGAGGTGAGGGCTTGCCCTACCTTTTGGGCTCCCATGGGGAAGGCGACTGTGGCCAGAGTCTGCAGGAAGTCAGGGGCCTTCCAGGCTGGGTCCTGGGGGTAGGTTCGGTGCACAAGGGCCAGAAAGTGCAGCACACTGGCAGGAAACGTCTGCTCCCACACACCTTCTTCATGACCTGCTGAGGGCTGAGGACACACTCCGTGAGAGGCAGTCAGGGTTGGGGTCAGGGTTAAAGTCAGGCTGCATAGCACCCTGGTGGAACAGCCTGAGCCCAAACTACAGACATCCCCCACTGAGATCACAAAGGACACTCTGCATGAGTCACCAAGACTGTGGCCAGCACTGGTGGGTGTCACATGGGGATGGCACAGTGTGTTTGGACATTGTCCCAAGCTGTCTTCTCCTCACCATATAGCAACCCTTTGAGGTAGGCTCTGTGTGGAACCCTTGTCTGCAGAAGTGACCCAGAGAACACCTATATCTTACCAAGGCCACCCCATGGTAAGAGTCATAGCCAGGGTCTGACCCTCATGAACCACTGCCCTCCCTACACAGCTCCTACACAATTAGACACAGCATGCATGCTGAGCTAGTGGGAGTGCCCACCAGAAGTCACCGTCTTCCCCGGCATGTTGCCAACTCCTCCCCAGTCAATAACTAGGCATACTCTGTCTCCTGCTGGCAGGGTCTGGGATGGGCTGGGTCCCGAGCTGGTCCCACTACCTCCCCATACTTCTTGGCTGTACAGCCCACACAGGAAAATGTGAACCTAATTGCAGAAAGGAAGGCAAGACACATAGAACTGCAGTTCTGGGACCTGGCGAGGGATTGGGTTGGGCAGGAGCAAATGGAAGAATATTCTGAAGCCACCTGCATCTCAGCCTCCAGACCCTCCAGCATAATATTAGATTTGTAGGAGAGAACATACAAGAGGAAAGTAGAGTTATCAGGGAGTTCTTCAGCCTGGGCGGAATCCAGCCTCTGCCACTTACTACAGCCTGGCTTGGACCAGCTTGGATTTTTTTTTTTTTTTCAGGGAAGAAAGTCCTGGGGATTGAGTCCAGGGATCTTACATTGAGCTACATCCACAGTCCTTTTTCATGTTGAGACATATCTTGTTAAATTGCTAAATTGCCTAAACTAGACTTGGCCTCCCAGAGTATTGGGGTTACAGGTGTGCACCACCATGCCCAGCTGGACCAGCTCCTCATGCCTTGGGCTCCGACATTATTGAATGAGAATCTTGATGCAGCCTATTTCAGAAAGTTTCTGTGAGGATTAAGTGGGTCATTTTAGCAGTCTGACTAAGACAGGGTAAAAACAGAAACAGCTACAAGATGAGGTCAGAGCCAGAGGACCTAGACTTTTGGAAGAGGAGTCTGGATTTGATCCACCAATCTACAGAGACCCCTGAAGATCAAGGTGTGGCCAGGACATGCTGGGCACAAGTGTGACCTTGGGGTCCATGGTCTGACCTCATTTGGATGGACTGTCTACAACCCCGCAGTGGAGGGAACGCTGTCTCTTCCAATGGATTATCACATGCAGCAGAATGGCTAATATTAAAAAAATAACAATGAAAAATATTGGCAAATGTGTGGAGCGGCAAGACCTCTGCCAGAATGAGAGCTAGTGAGAGTGTAAATTGGTCCTTCCACGCTAGAGAATTCTTTGGCACCACTGACTTAAGTAAGCCATATGTACAGCTAATCACCCACAATCCCACTCTTGGGAGCACTTCCCAAGAGAAATGTCCACCAAAAGACAGGTATGTGAAAAATCTATTCTTGATATTTCCAAAATGAAACAACCGAGAATGGATGTGATTAATTATAACAAGAAAATACCACTTCGCCGTGAAAAAAAATCTGAATTCCTGCCATCCACAACAACATGAGTGAATCCCATGACATAGTGGCAAGTGAAAGAAGCCAGACCCAAAAGGCTAAGTACTGCATGGTTCTGTTTATATCACGGTCAAGGACAGGCAGCCTCGCCTGTGGTTACCACTGAGTGAGCAAGCGTAAGCATCCAAGGAAACTCAGCTGCCAAGGATAAAAGAAACAAACAGAACTGAAGACCTGTGAGAGGCATTCTTACAATTAAGTCTGTAGCTTTTTCCCCTTATTCTTCTACTTTCTGTCTTTCACACTTAGATGCTTGTCCACTCTGTTTGGTAAGTGATGTTCTCACAGCAAGTGTCTGTGCTGCAGCAAGCAATCAGCGAGAGATTTCATCTTCAGGATAAGGAGCCAGGATCTTGTTCTTCACCCCATGTGCTAGTCACGTGTCTAATGTGAGCTTAACCTGTTGTGTTTGTTGTTATAGTGGAAACATTTGGCTTCATACCTACACTACTGTCAGCGTAACACACATTTTCTCTGTTGTTAATGAGCTTTTGTTGTTCCTTTGGTTTGCTTTATATTCAGTAACATTAAGTAGGATAGCAGATTCCTTATAATGTAAATAGAAAATATATATCTTTACAAGGCACCCCAAAATTAACCACACAGCAGTCCTACAATAGAATGAATAAATTCTTCAAAGATGGAAAATGTACAGCACGTATAAGCTGACCAGGGTAAAAACAAAACTAGAAACAGATAAAAAATAAAAATGTCTAATTACATGGACACTGAAAAATATGAAAGTAAGCTTTACAATTGTAATCATAAAGCTTCTAGAAGAAAACCAAAAATGAAGATGCTAAAAAATCTAGAGAAGTTGACAGAGAAAAAACAAAAACCTCAAGATACTGGTAAATAGACCCAAAATCTGAGTCTTCAAATAAATCCACAAGCCTTTATCTCCTAAGTAGCAGGCGAGGTATGATAAAGAATGTGAGCTCCCAAATTAAGAGTAATAAGGGAGAAATAACACAGCAAATTAAATGAGTCAGAAGAGGTCTGCAACAGCTTAGGTCTGGGATGTGCGCCAAGGCCCATGTGTCAAAGACTTGGTCTCCAGCTTGGCGGAGGTAGTAGACGTTAGAAGAGGCCAAGCCTAGGAGGTCTTCAGGCCATGGGTGTCATGGCCTTGAGGAGGGTGGCACACTCCTGGCCTCTCCTTTTCTCTTTTATGCATCCTGGCAGAGAAGTGAGGATTCTCGCTGTGTCCCACATCCTTGCTGTGACAACTCACTGCAAATCCTAAGCAGGCCAGCTGGTCACACCATGGAAAGGTAACTCACACAAGACCTTCTGTGCAAATCGAGTAACTGAAAAATTATATCTAAATATCAATTAATTAAACTGGTTCAAGCAGGTATTTAAAAGCTTTAAACAGTCGATAATCATGGAAAAAATGTAGTCACAGGCAGCCTCATAGAAGCCCATTTAAATCATATAAGAGTTGTGGACTTAATACATTCTTGAATATAAAGGCGATCCATCACTTTTATATAAAACCAGGAAAAGACCAACATCAAAACATGATCAAAATAGAATGAAAAAAAAAAAAACTGCAGCCAAATATAATTTACAAAGATGCATACAAAATCATAAATTTTTGCAAACAAAATAAGGAATACTCTTAAAAAATTAAGATCAAGAGGACTAAATAAGATCTTTGTGAAGCACTCAATTGTTGACTTACATGTTACAAAATAAAAGTGAAAAAATCTTGCCTGTGCAAAGGGCAAATAATGTGATCTACACTTTCACCACATAATGACACACAAACACAAACACACAGAAGTTGCCAAACAACACAAACAAGCAGCTCACAGTAAAATAAAGAGTTAACAAGGACTTGAAAAGTGATTAGATTTTTTTTTTTTTTTTTTTAATTTTTTTTTTTTTTTTGGTGGAACTGGGGATTGAACTCAGGCCCTTGCGCTTGCCAGGTAAGTGCTTATTCTACAGAGTCATCTCCCCGGCCCCTGAAAAGTGATTTGAAAAAAGAGTAATAATAAGTACAAAAGAACTCAACTGTGGAACAATCATCACTTAGGTTGTGAGGCTGTCTTAGGCTGAGGATTGAGCTGTGGGCTTCCATGCCAGATGCTGATGGACAAGGGATGGTGGACATGCATTGTACATGCATGATGTTTAATGTAACCTTCCCAAGAAGCACATGCAAAAACACATACAGTGTGCACTGTGTCCTGGTAGCCACACCCCATGGAAAAGACATTCAAGAAAGTTAACTACAGGCTTTTTATAACACTGCTCTGAAGATCAACATACACTTCTCTTACAAATACATGTGGTTCCTATGGTCTCCCACTCTATGGATGACATTCACAAATTTTGAGGGAATAAATGCAAAAAGAGTCTGGGGTGTCTGCATCTGTAAGGATACACTCTGACCTGTACACAAGGAGAACCATCAAGTGCTGGCTTGTGTGGGGAAGCGCTATTGTCTGTGGAGGCTGCATCTCCTGACTGGGGTGCACAGAGCTCCTTGGGCCCTTGAGGCTGGACTTCCTGTTGCACCCAGGTCTCCCTTGGGAGCCTACTCACCTTGTCCATTTCATCTTACTAATTGCCACCTGCTATGGCTTGAGTGTGTCCACTGAAAGTTCCTGTGCTTCAAGATTAATCCCCAAATTCTTATGCTCATGGTGTGTGGAAGAGGGGCCCATGCAAGGTGATAATGACAAGATGTCCCAAGGGAGGCCCAAGATGGCACTGATGTCCTAGATGAGGAAGTGAGATCCAGGCCAGCACACTTGCTGCCAGTGCATGATGCCTTCACCCTACTGTGGCTCATCAAAACGGCTTCACCAGACACCTCAAAAGCACAGCCTCCAGACTGGGAGCTCAACAAACTCCTATCTTTATAGATTACCTAGTCCTGGGCATTTGGTAACCGCCCCTGACAGAGGACTAAGAATCAGCATCCCTAGGAAGCTACTGGTAGAGGGATCAAGGTGGGCCTTCCCCATGCACCTCCCACCAGAACCTCCTGGGGTGCTGTGTGGGAAGCAGCTCACCTGGCTCATGGTGGCTCTCAGCATTGCCAGCAGCAGCAGGGCACCTTCTGTGCACAGCCCAGACCGCTGCACTTCTTGCTGGTGGTGCTTCTGCATAAGCCACTGCAGCATGGCATCCAGACTGTCCTGCAGGAGAAACAGGGCTGTGAGGAAGCCCAGGGGACCTTCTAGGAGCACCAGCTCTGTGGCCTGGGCAACACCTGTTCTGGGCTGCCCCCCCAAAGCAAAGAAGCATTGTACCCCAGTAGCCAAAGTACACGGCTACCTGGAAACTTCCAGCCCAGAGAACGTGCATGAGGGAGGCAACCCCACTGAAGCACTGAAGACCCCCTCAAGACCTGTCTAAAGGTGGGTGGGTTCCCTCAGGTTCAGGGCATGGCCTGCCTAGCACAGGCCAGGGCCTGGGTCCCATCCACAAGCTCCAATCAATAAAAAAGCACAACCTTTTTTTTTTTTTTTTAAGTTTTGTTCTTTTGAGCTGACCCCACAAACATGTCCTAAAGAATGCCTAAGAAATGACCTTTTATAAATGAGGCTTAGAAGACACAGGAAGAATTCAAATACTGAGAGGAGGTATGGTGTGGACAAAAGAGCAGGGATTTAGAATCAGAACTCTAAACACAGCTGTGGAGGGTGGAATCTGTTCAGCCTTCTGGTAGCTCAGTTTCCCTCTCTATGAGAATAAAAGAAATCCCATTATCTACCCCAAGGGACTGTTTATATATCAAGTAGAAGAGAATACATAAAGCATCTATCAGAGGTCCTGACTCCTGGCAAACGTTAGTTTCCTACAATGTGTTCTTAGAGAAATAAGATTGCAGGTCTCCATGAACTTAGCACAGTATATTCAGAGCTTTACTTTGAAGTATGATCTACAACACTGCACTTTCAATCTGACACAGGTCTTCCAAGCGTAAGACTACGCAGGACAGCCAGATGCTTATGTGTTCTCCACAGGCCCATGCCCTTGCCCTATTTCAATTCAGTTCAGTTTCACTTAACAAAATTAAGACCAAGAAATGATTTCCAAGCCTGGTTTGTCAGGCAGCCAGGGAGGTTAGCAAAAGGTGGGCTGTGTCCTCCAGGTGCTCAGTAGCCATAAAGGTAGGCACATGGGACCATGCGCTGGGGCCAAAGAGCACAAAGGTATACTGAGGCCAGAAAAGAAGCACCTAGGAACTGCACAGGAGGTGGCACTTGATCTGAGTCTGGGGCAGGACACTCCTGCCAGGCAGGAGACAATATCAAAGAGAGCCAGTAAGGCCACTGCACGGGTGAGCACAGAGCAGTTGGCCCTCTTAGAGAAATGGCCCAGTGCAGGGACAGCAGGGAGGGCAAGACAGAGCCAAGCCAGGGGCCAAACACAAAGGACCTCAGCACTTCATCCAGAATCTGAACTAGACCTTGCAGGAATGGCCGCCAACAAGACTTGGACTTGCAGCTGGGTCCAGGAAGAGAAAGGGTTTAACATGAGACTAATCCACACCAGACTTTCCCAGAGGGATTATGGCTAAGGCTAAGGGGGTGATGGGCTAAAAGGAGGCTGTCAGAGAGCTCACTGGGAGGTGAGGCTGCAGAGGGTGAAATGGGTGCAGATGGATGAGAGAAAGGAGGATGGGACCTTATGCCCAGTGAGTGCAGACTCTTCTTGGATGATTTTCCAGAAGGGCTAAGATGTATGCAGAGCATTAGCTTCAGAGTGTGAGCCCAGGGCAGCCTCTGGTTTTCAGTGGGACAGTTTAACACACTTGTGTCTACAGGGATGAGTCAGTAGAAAAGGAGACACTGAAATAACAGTGCAATGAGGGGACGACGGTGGCCTGAGTCACCCTGGAAGAAGGTGCAGAGTCACAGGACAGCCTAGAAATCCAGCCTTTCCCATGCCCATGGCAAGGGAGTGATGAGGAGGGTGGCAAGGAAAACAGGTGCCCAGCCTGGACCTTGCTTTTCAGCTGGGTCCAGGAAGAGAAAGGGTTTAACATGAGACTAATCCACACCAGACTTTCCCGGAGGGATTATGGCTAAGGCTAAGGGGGTGATGGGCTAAAAGGAGGCTGTCAGAGAGCTCACTGGGATGTGGGCCACCAGGGAGAGGAGTAAGTCTGACTGACATTTGTAGCCCAAAGAAGCAGCAGAGGCAGCAGAGTCTTAGGGAGGGAGCTGCTTTAGTCATGTGCAAGCAGAAAGCCAAGTGCCCTGCAGCCCCAGGGTGGCCCCAGGATCTACCTTGGGCCCATCTGTCAGCTCTGTCAGTGGTGTCTGCAGGAAGAAGGTCGATACAATGAGGTAGACTTCCGGGATGTGAACTCGGTAGCCCAGGAATTCGGTCAAGACACGGAAGCCAGGGAGCAGGCAGGGGCTATGCTCAGCCACAGTTGCAGGCTTCTTCAGGTTGTCTATAGATGGAGGAGGAGGCATGAATTGGAGCTGAAAAGAACTACTTCTGGTCAAGGTGGGGGTGGACATACCAGGAGTTCCTGCCACCCACTCCACTCTTAAGAGACACAGGCCTGAAATACATATCCACAAAGTTGAGCAAAAGAAAACACTTGCCTGTGATTAATTTTCCTAGTCCTAACACCTCATTCATTCACTCATCCATCCATTATTAATCTTTCATTCCTTCACCCATCCAAATCCCATCCATTCATCCATTAATTTATTCATCCATCCACCTGTTTATTAATTCATTCATCTACCCAGTCATTCATACATATATTCTCAATCTATTAATTGATTAATTTGTCCATCCATCCACCCATCCAAAGACAAACACATACTAAATGCCAACAACTTAGGAATAAACCAGGCAGTTCTGTATTAGGCAATGTGGGGACAGAAGCATAAAGAACGATGGAAGGGGGCAAGCATGTGATGGAACACAAATACTAGGAGAAAGTGAAGAGCACTACAGAGACAGTAGGAAGGGCAGAGAGGATTGACAGAGGTGCCCTGACCTGGGAAAGGCACCCTGAGACTCACCCAAAGGAAAGGTCTTGTAGGGCAGAAAAGGCATACAGACAGCAGAAGCCAACTGGGAAGTTCTCACCCTTGCAAGGCACATGACCAGATGGGGAGCCTGGAAGTGCCGGAGAGCAATATCCAGGGCTGCAAAGTATGAAGGCAGGAAGGTGCTGCCCAGTGGTCCTCAGGTTCACGCTGCTCTGGAGCCCATCTGGGAGAAGGGTCCAGGAGGTCCTGCTGCAGGGACCTGCACAACTCCTCTGGCATCACTCAAATCCTAGAACAAGGAGGCACCCACACTCACCCATCATGATGGCTACATCCTCAGCACTGTGCTCCACCCAGGAGCCCACAGACAGGCCATCCTTGAATCGGGCACGGAGAGAGGGGCTACACAGGAAGTGCAGCAGCAGCTTCAAGGCCAGCACAGTAGTGCTGGGATGCAGGTGGCCCTGCAGGAGCAGCAGGAACCAGTCAGGGCCCAGGCTCAGAAACATCTCCTCCTTCAACCTGGGGGTCAGTAAATACAGTCCATTACCTTTCAGTCTGTGAGCAAGTGCCACTCCCAGAAGAGATAACACTCAGCCTCATAAGTCTCTTGGGAAAAGCAGTGAAGGGTAACATTTGAGTATGACCTATAGAAGCACATACCAGCACATTCTGAAAGAATGCAGAGTAAAATAATGACAGAATTGTTGCACAGCGATAGACTTGTTCTTTAATAGCTACAATGTAAGTTGACCAAAGCTTTGCAAAGCAACTGGGAATTATGGATGAAGGTAGGTAAAATCTCATGTACCCCCAAGACTTCATAGCTTTGCCATTATTCAGACTTGCTGGTGGGAACTGAAATGTACAGGAGGGACAGGAGGTGGGGAGCAAGGGTACTGAGCCCAGGACTCAGCCTCAGAAGTCAGAGAAAGAGGCATCTACGTGGAGCAGTGATCTAGGCTTCAGCTGCCAGGCCAGACAAGGTGGGGTGGGGCTAGTGTCTGCTGCAATGAGCAGCGGACTAGAGGCCAAGAAACTGTCATCTTTCCTATTCCCGCCTGTGATATCTTCAGACTGGCAGAGCTCTTAACGTGCTCTGGTCATTCGACTCGATGATGATGAGTATGGGCATGATAAGGGAGATGACAGTGACAGTGGTGGTGGTGGTGGTGATGATGCCACTGATGGTTATGGTAATGATGGTGGTGAGGATGACAGTGGTGAGGGTGATGGTGTCAGTAACGGTGAGGATCCTGATGATGGTGATGCTGATGGTGGTGGTGGTGACGGTAGTGATGGGAAGTTTGTGGTGAAGACAATAATACCTTATCATTGGTGGAAATGGTGGTGATAGCGACGACAATGGTAGTAGTGGTGATGATAATGATGGTGAAGATGGTAGAGATGGTGGCGGTGGTGGTGGCGGCGGTGGCGGCGGCGGCGGCGGTGGTGGTGGTGGTGGTGGTGGTGGTGGTGGTGATAATGGTGATGGGGGGATGACAACAGTTTAGACAGTGCTTATAGTTTCCCAGACACTGCTCCCAGGTCTCGCTATACATTAATTCATTTCATCCTCCCCATAGCCATCTGTGGAAGGTATTATTTTCAATTTCACACAAACAAGTAGATAGAGGCATGCAGAGCTTGCAGAGCCTTCTTGAGTCCCTGGCGGCAGAGCTGAAACCCAGCCCAGAAGGCCCAGATGCTACCAGCCAGGTGCTTATGTACTTTACTATGTTCTCTTTTTAAAAGATGAAAAAGGATAGGACCACGCTAGCTCATCACCAAGACACCCTCCGGTGTTAACATGTCTCAATTCTAAAACTGTAGACTTATGCACTGGTAAATTTGTAACTATGATTTCCAAGGTTGCTTTGCGGAAGGGTAAGTCCCCACCCCCACCCCCACAAACACACAGATATGCTATGTGTAAACTGAGAGAAGCTGAGGAATTGTACAGATGTGCTCACAGCTGCATCCCAGGAGCTAGAAATGGTGCCTGGTATATAGTCAGAAAAAAAAAAAAATAGGTCCTGAACAAGTGATTCCACGGTTGTGAGCAGGCAGTGGGGAGAGATCAGAGTCAGCTCTATGATTACTCATTACTTTGAAAGTTAATTGAAGGCAGACACCACTTTTTTCCAAGTTGGAAAAATAACTAACACACCAAAAGTAAATAGTGGAGGCATTTGGCAAGGCTTTTCCTTGATAGATGTTACTTGAGCTAACCATTTCTCCACTCTGCTGTCTGCCAAGTACAGGACATCAAAGTCAGTGATCATCACAACCGCCAACACAGTAACAGCCCCATGTGGCAATGGTGACAAAAGAGTTGCTTGAAATGATGCCGAATGTGTTTCCAGCTACTCTTGCCCACTGAACTTCTGCATCCGAATATCTCAGGGCAAGGTCTGGTTTATTGGGTGAAGAAAATACAATTTCATTCTGCCTTGTGTAGGAAACACATCATGGAAAGCAGACTCAGAGATGCTAAACTTTTCATTAAGGAAAGGTTCTAATACTGCACCCTGTAGGAGGCGACCTCGTGCCAAATTGCTCTTCCCAGAGGTACTCACTCAGAGGACAGATGGAGTTGGGGGGAAGAGATTACACCGAGCAGCATCTCCAGCAACTGGTTTCTGAGCCTGACTGTCTTTCCAGATGTTTGGCTTCTAGCTACAAAACAGAAAATTCAGATTTGAGAGAAAACGGATGTAAAAAGACATAACATTCGCTGTAGCGAGCCATCATAGTCAACAATTGCTTAGTTTACTCAGAATTGGAGCACGAACAGGACTCAAAAATTTGGCCCTTAATTCTAGATTATAATGCAATCCTTAAAAGAAAAGAAGAAGAAAAACTTCAGGAAATGTTGCTAAAGCTCCCTTTGCCTACAAATGTCTTCAGTGACCTGCCTTTGACAACAAAAAGGGGCCATGGTATTGGACTGGGCAGGTGCGAAACAGCCCCATCGTCAGTTACCTTATAAAGGCAAATGTATCATGCAGTAGAATCTGGTTATGTTCTCATAGGCTGAGGCATTTCTCTACATTGTGGTGGTTTTATGGGTGACACTAGGGGTTGGGTGGTAAAGACTGCGCTGTGTGTTCTCTGGGCTTCTGCTCTCAGCCCACTTCTAGACAAGACCTCTGTATGTCTTTCATTTACATTGCCCTGAAAATAGCAGAGCCACAGCAGAGGATCTGAGGAGAAACATTACTTCTCAAGGATCACTGAAGCCCCAGGAGACATCCCAACAGTGCTTCACTACAATTAGTTAAAAGTTTCAGAGTGAGGTCTACATGCAAAAATGCAAAGTTTACAGAAAGGAGCTCACTCTGGGCCACTACACAACATTTTTCCCTTCACTCAGTAGGCATCTTCTAAGCACTTTGGGGTTCAACACCCTAATGCTAGGGGAGCACAGGGGAAGCAGCTCAGAGATGCAGCCTCAGATTTGCCTCGACAGTATTTGGATTTTGCCTCCTTCTCTGCCTAAGGTTCCAATCCCACCGAGGCTTGCTTCCTTCCTCTCCAAAATGAGACACAGAATTTCTACTCTGGCCATTTGATTTGAGGACATGGGGGATGATAATTCATACAGATCAACTGACACTATCCCCGAGTGTCTTCTGTGACGATGGGGCTGTTTCACACCCGCCCAGTCCAATATCATGGCCCCTAGCCTAGTGTGCCTCCCGGGGCTCTTGGAATGTGGCTAGGCTGAGGAACTAAATTTTCAACTGCATTTAAATTTAATTAACTAAGTTTTAATTAAATTGTCAGTGTAAATGGTCAGATGTGGCAAGAGGCTCTGATCTTGGACAGCATAGGCTTAGAGGGCTGTGGACACCAGGTTCCCCTCCATCACCCCAGCAGAGGGGAGACCAAACAAGGTAGGGCTTGTTTGTTTTGCCCATCCTGCACCCAGTCAGGGCAAAAGAGCATCCCAAGGACACTAATCCCAGACTTCACATGATGTAAAGCCCCATGGGCCTCAGAAGAAAAGGAGAACTCAACAGTATGGCAGCACGGTGTGGTGTGGCAGGGCTGGGGACACTGGCCTAGAGGAGGCAGGGGTGGGGCAGGCAGGGGTGGCTTTTCTGGAGAGATCAGCATGGGCAAACCAGCATGGAGGCTGCCACTCATGCACTGGGAGCTCAGGTACTAAGGAGTATGGAAACTAGAGCCGCTGGGGTCCACCCAAGAGTACCACCAAGACCTACGTGCTGTCTCAGGGGGCTGACTCTCCCACAGGCTTCAGAAACCAGCTTTGGTTCTGGAGCAGGGATACTGACCCTGATCCTCCTTGCCTGCCTCCCTCAGGCCCTAGTATCTGGGAAAGGTCCTCTCACCAGGCCCCTCGGAGGCTGGGGCTCCATCCATGCAGACTTGGGTCTCGTCCATTGAAGAAGGCTTGAGGGTGTACACAATGAAGAGCCCAATCCTGGACACAGCAAGAAAGAGGGACGAGGGGAATCGTGTTACCCTGTGGGCCACATAATACTTCCAGAAACTTCTAAAAGCTGTTAGGTTCATCAGAGAATTGACCTCTGGCTTTTGCAGATTAGCAAGTGGAAAGGGTGAATCTGAGGGTGGCACGGGCTGGCAGGCACTCTGACCCAACGCAGGGCCAGCACTGCTGCGGGGACGGCCATACTCATGGGGAGATCAGAAATGTCGGAGCAGCAGGGGTGAGTAGATGCCAGAGGAGGAAACCACCTCTCACCCCAAATCCCCTCTCTTCCAACTCTCAGCCCTGAACAGGGCCCTCCCTAGCAGGATCCTAGTGCTGTCACTGGACCGAGCACAGCAAGAACACATCTGGCTCTATCCTTTATAACACTCCAGGGAGCTTGGTAAGGTACCTGAGCAAGTCCCGGATGCTGAAGTGGCCCCTTAGCTGACAGCCGAGGATGCCAATGATAGTGGAGACCTTGGCAAGAGGGAGGCTGGGCTCGTTGAAGAGGAAGATGAGCTTGGGGATGAGCTGGGCCTGGTGGGCGACCTCGGCGTTCCTCGCCCCTTCCCTACAAGCCCAGGAGGGAGGCAATAAAAGCTTTTACTGGAATGAACCAAATTCGCTGTGTTTCTGCTAAAAAGCTTTTCAACACTAGACTTGTTCCTGACTCCAGGGTTCTCTTGGCACCTTGTCAAGATGCCATCAGACACCCATCGAATACTCGTCTGCCAAGTGCCAGAGTCGCTGGGGCACTGCCTCCAACCCTCCACCCTCCGGAAACAGCCTTCAAAGACAAACCCCAATTATTGACTTTTAAATCCTGAGCCTTGAGGAAAACTAATGTCGGCCTCAGAAAACTCAGCACCAAGACAGCAGACACTCATGTAACCCGGAGCCAGTCCCCATGCAGAATCAGGGGCCTGTCTGGGTGTGCATGCCATCTTCCTGCCCGCCCAAGCCACAAAGTGGACTTGAGTATCCTTCCCTGGGATAACCACAAAGCCGGTTTCCAGTAAACTGTACTCCCCCAAAGAAAGCAGCTCCCAAGGTAAATGTTGTTTCTTAGAAAACAACAATTTCAGGTGGAGAAAATAAAAGGGAAGAGGGGCGGGCACAAGAGGAGGGGAATTGGGGTGGGAGGATGGCCCCTGTGGCACCATCTCTTTGACAGGAATGCACTGAATTCTGCTGAGCTCCACATCCCTGATGCCCAAAGGAGGCAGAAGCAGCCCATTCTGAGCCGGGGAAGCCGCACCCACGGCCTGCAAGCTTGGCTGCCTGGATAGCTGTGTGCTTTGCTGAATTCCCAGCGTTAGAAATAGGGTGGGAACTGTAGTGAGCTTATAGGAAGCTCCCCAAAATAAGAGTCTGGATGAACAGCACTAGGGTGCTAGTGGCCAGTGGAACAGCAGAGAGGGAGAGGAGGCCAGCGGAGGCCCTTAGCAGCACCTGCGGACTCCCTCAAACTTCACCTTTCCAATCACTCCAGCTAAGAAGCCAGCCTGCTAGCCCCGCTGCAGGCCCAAGTTAGCCCGAAGAAACTCGGCCCTTTCTCCAAGACCATCAAATAATGAAACCTTGGCCTTGCCTCTGCCAACCCAGCTAAGCTGAGGAGCTGTGCCCAGGAGCTGCCCAGCAGCCGCCTGGCAACCATGGAAGTGGTCTAAAGAAATTACATGGCCAGACAGGACCAGGGACAGGGCCCAGGCCCAGGCACATGGAGGCCGGGGAGAGGGCAAAGCCATGCATTTCTCCTTCAACTGCACCTTTCCCTTCTCTCCCCCTTGCTCCTCCTTCCTGTCCTTCTTCCTCTTCCTCCTTCCTCAAGCTGCTCTGGGGCCCGTTTCTGCCACTTGCAACTGAAAAAGCCATAATCAGTTAGAGAAGTGGCATGGAGAAATCCCCAGAGAGGGCAAGCCGAGAAGCTAGCTGAGCCCTGGAGCTGAGTTTTCCTTTGCTGGGCACAGGGCTGAACCCAGATTTGATGCTGATTTCCTGGCCCACAGAGGCTTCTGAGGCCCTGGCTCCTGTTATCCTGAGTCCAAGGCTATCAAAGGACAGAGATCTATCCCATGTACTCAGCCACCAGGAAGGACAGCTCCCACCTGCCCACCTTGGGTGCAGGGAGGAGGCCTCAGTCACAGAGCCTCATTTGTCCTGCCCTCTCAGCCCTTATTCCTGGCAGGAAGACTTAGAAATCACACAGGGCTGCAGGTGCCCACCTACCTCGGTGACTGGAGGATGTCCGTGAGGTGGGAGAAGAGGCTGAGCTCCAGGTTGTCTGCAGTGTTCATCCAAAGCTGAAAGACAGAGCACGCATGCTGAGCCCAAAGCACATGTGGGCCAGGGTCTGCAGGCAGCGTGGAGACAGAGAAGAGTCTTCTGCAGCCTAGAGCCAGCTCTACAATGGGGCTAACTCCCTTGACCTGCAACAGGTAAGGGCACTTCTCCCGAAGAAGCTCAAATGGCCCCCAGCTCTGCTGCTGCCTGGTGCTCACTGCTGGTCTGGATTCCAACCAAGGTCACCTGCTCTGACCATGCCTGCATCTGCCCAGCACTGGGTCCACCCTGATGAGACCATATGACAGATGCACTGCATGCACAATGGAATTTACAGACAAAAGAGGTCCCATTTTGCAGATGAAAAAATAATGGAGACAGAGCCACTGAGTGAGTGACAGCTATCATTCTCTGCCAGCCAGTCAGAGAGGGCTGGAAACCAGGCCCTAGCCTTTTGAGTTTTACACATCATGAACTACACGTGGGTTAAGTACAGTAGAAAAGCATCTGTCACCATGCCTCTGGGCAGGTCTGGTGGCAGGACGTCCCCTCCCATTGCTTCTTCCTTTCTATTTATCATCTCTAAATCCTGACAATTCCCAAGGCCCAGGATATAGCAGGTGGGGACATAGGTCATAAGAGTGTACTCGTAGCAGCAAAAAGAGCTCAGCCTGCAAACAATGCCACTTGCTCAAGGGAAGAGACCATAAAATGCTCAGATGTACAGCCGTGGGACAGAACCACAGGGAGAGGTGTTCAAGGCATTGCTGGGATACCTGCCACCAGAACTCGGTGTGCACTGTTCATCCTGTACCCATAAGCCTAGAATAGAGCTCAATTTATAAAGCAGGCACAATAGGAGATTAGCAGGGATAGCTCATAGCAAAATAGAACTATAATAGCAAATACTATCATGGCTTATTTAAAATTTATGAGTTGTTGATTTCTAGAATTTTCTATTTAATAGTTCTGGACTCTGGTTGACTGTGAGTAACTTAACCTGTCCACAGTGAAACCACAGATAAGGAAGAACCACATTATCTTTGTTGCGGAGGGAGTCTCAGGGAGGCTGAGTCACCCTGGTCTCTGGTTGGCACAGACTGGTATCACAGCTTCACAGTTTCTGGTCTGCACGGTAAAGAGGGCAGACAGTGACCCACAGGGCCAGCGATAAGCCCGCTTGAAACTGGCAGGAGTCCCTACTCTGTTCTGACTGTAGAGGAAGTGCAAAGAGCCCAGTGGACATGGTTCGTCAGAAGATATGCATGCATGGGCCACCTCTCTCCAACCTCAGGAGCCTGTGTCACACACATCATGTTCTGTGTGCTTAATATGGATCGCTTTCGTTTTTTAGAAGAATGGAAGCAAAGCAAGTAAGCATGATTCTTTGAAGCCAGCCCCAGCTGACTGTTTCCAGCCCTCAGTAAGACCTAATGCAAGCACAAGCACCGCCGGAGGACACACTGGGAGGTAAGGAAGCCACGCAGGGTACACCAACATTCCCCCTGCAGGAGTCCTGCAGACATGGAGCACTCACTCAGGAATCTGGCCATTCAACCACAAACAACAGCTCAGTGCTGTGAGCCACAAAGCTGAGAGAGTAACAAACATACCACCTAGCATTGTGGGTCCCCTGTTCTCTTCCTACAGGAGCGTCTAGCTCCCTGTTTCCCATCCAGGACACTAGAACAACACTAATTTACCACATCTAGTCAAGGTTACTAGCTTTTCTAGAAAGATCATTCATTCATTCATTCATTCATTCATTCAGTGTTGGGAATTGAATCCAGGACTTTCATGCTGGGCTACATCCCCAGCCCTGTTGTTTGTTTGTTTGTTTTTGAGACAGGGTCTCCCTAAGTCACTAAGTCTCCTAGGCTAGAATCAAATTTGCAATTCTGCCCCCCAGAGTATAGAAGTTTCTTTGCACTGTATTAAATATCTGAATTTTGGGAGACATAGAAAACTGATTCTTTTGGTTATTGTCCTGCATCACATAATCCTACACCAAGGGTTGTGCTGCAGGACTTGGATTAGCCTTGTTTGAGTATCAGTGGGCCTGTTCCTTTTCTGCCTCCTGAGAGGGTCCCTAAGGCTCCCTTACAAACCCCCCGGGTTTAGAGTTTCTCTCTACAGGAGGTTGGCTTGTACAGACTGCAAAACGACAATTCCATTTACTTGACAGTGATGGGATCATTTGGGCTTTTTATTTCTTTTTGAGTAAGGGAGGAGGCCACAGTCACAGAGCCTTCTTTGTCCCGCCCGCCCTCTCAGGACAAAGGAAACCTAAGTTGTCTCTGAAAGGGTTCAAATGGGCTGAGCTTTCCCACTCGTTTGCATGCAACCTCTCACTGCAACACTCTCCTCCCTCCTTCCTCGCTTCATGCTTGGGGCCCTCCATCTGATTTTCTCTTGCCCATCTTTTCCAGTGCCGAGGTTAGAACCCAGGGCCTCGCAAGGCTGAACAAGTGCTCACCCGCTGAGCTACACCTCCAGCCACTGACCAGTCTCAACAGAGGTTTATTGATTTTATGGGAGCCAGATCTTAGTGGTTCTCTGAATGTTCTCTTTCCTATTTTATTATGTTTTCATCTTTTTTTTTTCTTTCCTTTTTAGTTAGAACTTTGTTTTTTGGGTTTTTTTCCCCTTTGTTTGGTTTTTTGGTAATTCTACCTTCCTCATCTAGAAGCTCAATTCATTAATTTTAAAATGTTGTCCCTTTCTACATAGACATGGATGGCTATAAATCCCCCAGCCCTGCTTTCAGCAGCAGACCCCCAGTGTTTGGGGGGTCCTAGTCCTGTTGCCATCCTTCAGTTCTAATTTGCATTATGACCTCTTCACTGATCCCTCTCTTTAACTCTGCTGCCTTTGTGTCAATATAGGTTTCAAATTTTCCACCTGAATTTCTGCAGCTATCTCTTGATCGATCCCCTGTTCAGGGCTCTTGGGACCAAAGTGACACACCTAAAATAAAACCCTAACGTGTCCACCTTCATTTAGCATCCTATTAATAGCAGCAGCTTGGCAAAAATTTATTGGCAATCTAAAAATTGTTTATAAAGGCCTTATCCTATGATTTAACTTCGGTAGCTTATTCTGGAAAACGATTTTAAAGTGGAGAGAAGTGCTGTAACTAGAAGAGTACTGAGGACGCCAGGAACTTGCTGCATGGCGGAAGGTTCTTCCCACCTCCGGGCAGTGTCTGTGTTCAGAATGAAAATACTGAAGTGTATTTGTTCCATGGAAAATGGCAGCGCTCACAGTAAGAGCTCTAGTGTGAGTAGGGAGAAAATGCAGAAAGAACCACCAATTGCTCCGCAACTTGTCTCCCTGAACATCTGGGGTCTTAGGTATAGGATGGTCTTCCTCTTACCTTTCTAACTTGAAACTCTATAAGAGTAAGCTAAGGTATAAGCAAGAAGTGGCTCTTAAAAGTATCCCCTGGATCTCTACCTACAGGCCAAGGCTTATACCAATTGTCAGCATCTTTATTGGCTCCCCACTTCCCCTCCACTGATCCTACCTGCACTGACACAGACCAGCCTATGCCCCCAGGTTGCAAGCACAGAATGCCGAGCTGTGCCCAAGTAGAGGGCCCACAGGCAGCAGACCCCCACTGAAGGCTTGTTCTCCGCTGGATTCTATGACTCTGCCCTAGATGCCACTCCCTAGAGCTCTTCTCTTCTCACCCTGTGCCTTCCCTACTGTGGTACCCAGCCACCTGGCAGTGAGGAGGCGCTAGACACAGGGCCTGGAGTCAAGGGGACTCCAAGACACAGCAGCCCGTCTCTACCAGCTTCTCCTCCACATCAGTCTTTTAAAGAATCAGTGGAAATAGCAAAGCGTCATCCAAAAGCATTGGGGTCACTCTCCTCTACCTTCTTATAGATGTGATGCTCCATAGCTCAGAGGCCTCTCTCAGATGCTAGCTAGTTTAAGTCCACCAGAGCCACAAGAAAGAGATGATGGCTCCCTGCTACATGTAAGGATAAAAGAATCCAGAAAGGTGAAGAACACTGCCCAGCCTGGAGGTAGCAGGATTTAACTAGAATCTTCACCAGGGCTACAGAATTTGTGTGGTCCCTGCCATGGGGACTCTGGGGGAAGCTGATCTACTGGCATACAGGAACTTCCAGACGTTTACCATCACACACACACACACACACACACACATGCCTGAGGGACTTGGCCTTTTGGTTTACCTCAAAATCGCAGAGAATATGCTGGAAGACACCCATGTTGGTGACAGCAGATGGCCTGAAGCCCAGCTCCGCAGTGCCGGCCACAGAGAGGATGAGCTGGAGGATGCGGTGGTTGAGGAGAGAGGCTTTCTTCCGCAGGAGGAATGCCAGGATCTGAGACAGTGACATGTGGAGTAGCTTCTGAATGCCTGGTGGGGCTCACCATCCCTCTGCAGCCCACCCCTGGGTGGCGTTGTTGGCAAAGACCAGCTCATTGTGCTACCATCCCTGACACCATATTCTCAGAAGATAAGCCTGCGCTGACTCTAGGGCTCCTGCCTTGCTGGTGTTCCCTTTCCTGAGCTCAGATGGCTTGGTCTGTCTGGGTCCCCTGCTTCTCTCTGAAGCTCCTCCCTGGCACCTGAGTCCTCCTCTCCCTAGCGGGGATCCCACTCATCTGTACAGCTTCATTCCACACCTCTCTCCTCTCCCAGACACTGCCCTCTTCTTCCAACACACCCAGAAAGAGGACACAACACCTTTTCAGACTGTCCTGGTCACAGTTGCCACATCTGTGATCCAACCACTCCTTCTTCCCCCATTAACACCTAGTAGGGTGACTGCAGCGTGTGCCTCTGATCCTGTTCCTGTGGCACCTCAAGGGCCACCTCCCCACCATGCAGTAGTCACTCAAAGACAGTGTCCCTGTCTCCTCTCACCAGGGCAACTGAAAACAACAGTGAGCATCGCATCACACGGGCACAACTGCCCTGCACAAGCGCCCATCTAGTACCTCAACCTGTGCTTGCACATGTAAGCAGCACAATCCTCCACAACAAGTGTGCTGCTACTGGCTTACATCTGAACAGACTGACACAGAGAGATGAGCAGCTAGCAGTTCTGAGCAGTGTGGAGCCCCTTGTCTCTATGAAGCCTAATGCTCACAGCGGCCCCATGATGCATGAGCTACGGCAGTCCATATCCCTACAGACACCAAGGCAGAGAGGGTAATAAACTCTTTCATGTTCATAGAACAAAGTTAGAGGACAGTGTTCCCAGCCCAGCAGGCCGGCCCTGAGGCAGCCGTGGATGACACACGGAGCATCCTAGAGCCACCAGAGAAAACACCAGAAGCTGCATACAGGTGAGCACCCAGCCCAGAGCCACACAGGCTGGCTTTCAGGTCCTCCTCTGCTGTGACCATGCTAGTCCCAGGGCCTGCTACCAGCCAAAAGCCACCCTGGAGGAAATGTTTCTATGGCAAAGGAGCCCATCCCAGTCCCTTGGCTGTGGGCTTGGCTGAGGTGGCTTACCTGGTACCCGCTGATGTGCTGCATGAGGCGGTCGCACATGGGGTTGCTGGTCAAGACTGAGTGCAGGACCTTCACAGCTGCATACATCATATGGTCATCCATCGCTAAGGACACAAGGCCCAGGAGGATAGCAGGACCACCAATGAAGTCCAAGCTGCTGGCCGCAGGGCTGGAGTGAAAGACCCTCACCCCTGCGAAGGACACAGAAGGTGCTGGATCAGTCCGTTGCAGCCACGCTGTCATGCCCAGTGCTCACAGCAGGCAGATGCAGGGACCACCCAGTACTGCATGTAGAAAGCCAGAAGGGGCAGGGGGAGGGGCTACAGAAGACCCAAAAGGTGAGGGCCTGATGAGGGCTGTGTGTGTAATCAGAAAGCCAAAACCAGAGGCTACAGGATGGCACACACTGTTCTGCGAAGAGCCAGGTACTAAAGAGCCAGGCGCACTCTACTGCTTGTTCCCCTGCACACCTGGACTTCTCCTGCCCTCTGCCCACTGCTGGGCTGGGCCCTTGCATCAGCTCACTGCCTGGCTTTTGCCCCATTGCCTGGTGACCAGCACATACTGCCTATGAGTCTCTAAAGCCATCAATGACCTCTCCTGCTGCGCTGCCTAGGCAGGCTCTACTTGATACCAGCTACAGCTGAGTTCTCCAGAAATCCTCAGATGGGCCGGGGGGTGCTGACCTCTGTGCCCTTTGGTTCTGACGCTGGCCTTCCTGGGCCAGACCCTAGCATACCCCACCCAACCTATCCCATGCTCCACAGCTCCAGGGAGCACCGACCCTTCTTGAAGAGCAGTGAAGGCTCCCAGGCAACCTACCTAACTGGCCCACAGCAACAGCTCCAAGGGGCCGGAGTGAACCTAAGAGGTGCCCAGCACAATTTCTCAGCAGAAACACGGGTGTGGTGTGGTCTCGGGAGGAAATGTTCATCTACAGAAATTGGCAACAATTAGTCTTGAGAGTTTCCTAGAAAAGAGGGGTTGTTGTTCATGAGCCCTTAGGAAGCCAGGGTCCGTGGGGGGCTGGCCAGGGATGGTGGTCCATAGGCAATGATTAGTGTGTGAATCATACTTGAACCAATGTCAGGGTTGGAAGCCAAAATGTGGGGCAGCCATCCTATTCCCAAGCTGTGTATTAACTGAGTGACATTGGTGAAAGCAGCTTTTGGTGAGGGCTCAGGTGGGCAGGAAGAACATAAGGTCACTTCAGGGGACCCAGCATGCCAAGGCAGCCCTGGCCTTCTCAGCCTGGGTCATCCCCATTCTGCAAAGCCCAAGCCCTCTTGACTTCTAAAAGGTACAAGAGAGGAATCAGGGTGACCTGTACTGGGAAGTACACTACATGGTGAGCACAGCTGTGGTGTGGCGGCACCTAGTCCCTGACCCTCCTGCTGCAGGGCACTTTTGGCCCGGAGGCTAGCAATAATATAAACAGATCAGCCAACATGCATCAGCACTCAGAGCCAAAGGCAATCTTCACACAGGAATGAGAAGCTGTAAGTCCCAGGGCACCCACATCTATATGCATTTTGCTGTTTTTTCTACACTTCTACTGTTTTTTTTTTTTTTAAATGTATTAAGTACAGAGTCTGCAGAGTCTATAGGATTTCACTACATAAAGCAGACTCATAGTGATCCTCCTGTTTTCAGCCTCCCAAGTGCTAGGATTACAGGTGGGCACCACCACACCCAGTCTCAATCGCTGTCTCAGCACGCCCCAGGACTGGGGCCAGCACAGCACACCGGGGATTGAACCATGGCTGCTATGCTCTGCCTAAGCAGGTGCTTTAGTCCATTGAGTTATCTGGCCAGCTCTATACTTTCACTGTTTTTAAAAAAGTCATAGCCATTCTAAGCCCATTTTTGCAGCGTTAAGTGGTCAATAGAATCAAATGACCAGCACTGCTTTTTATACATCTTAACCAAAGTGAAAATATTCCATTTGTTCTTGCTGTAGTAGGCAGAGCGCCCACTTTTTGAGCAATTACAAATAAAAGGGCCAGCCCTGTGGGATGTGATAAGTAGAAAACACTGGTAATTCCATGAAGTAGAGCTTATGCATGCATGTATCTATCCAGACACACTCAGAGAAACATGAGATAGTGTTTGCTTAAGCACCAGAAGCTGAAGCATGCCAGGAGAGCCAGATTACAACAGGGAGGGACAGCAGAGCTAGAAGGGCTACCTCCTTGGCGATCAAGCGGCTGTCCACCTCATTGTAGGCATTTCTGAGGTCTGCCACACTGGTGATGGAAGAGCTGGCCACGTGGAGGCCAAAGGAAACCTTTTCCTCAGCAATGAGGGACATGGCCTCACCATCCGGGTCTTCTCCTACAGCAACACGTCTCTGTCAGGTACAGTCTCTCTTTACAGAGCAGGCAATGAACCCTCAGGCAATTACACATCTTCAGTCACACAGAAAAGTAATGGCTGAGAGGAGGTTTGTATGTTGCTGTACCACAGGTCTTTAGGGAGTTGTACAGTAATACGTCTTGTGCTTTACTCTACCTTGGGCTTCTCTGACCCTTACAAAAGCTGTAGCCACATCTCCAAGGTTAAGCCTTTGGCAAAATAGAGATATTCCAGTACTAAATTACCAGAGTTTAACATGTCTATCGAGTCTCTGACCTTGCTCTCCAAAGCCAATGTGCTAAGGGATAAGAAATCTGATTTATAGAAAAGGAAGTGGGAAATTGTTCAGGAGCTGCATGGCCAGGGTAGGTATCTAACCTGGAATCAGCACCCCAGCCCCAAGTCATCAGGATGGAATACCATACTAGGGACATGTGGCATGTGAAGAGAGAGTTCACAGAGCTGGCTGCAGCCCTGACCTGGTCCCGTTGCTCTGCTCAATGCCACTTGCCACAGGAAATGAAGTTCAAACAAAATATAGGTCTGGAGACAGAAACACTCAGCAGCACTCAATCGCCCTTCCCCACACACGGGGCCTCCGTGCCCCAGTGCATTTATCACTCTTCCCAGACGGGAGCTGACCCCCGACTTGATGAGCACAGAGAGCAATGTTCTCTGCTTGAACAGCCAGCAATCAATACCACGAATGTGGATGTTTTGTCTGCCTGTTTAATAATTGAAGACAACAGTATACTTTAGTTAAAAAGCTTCTTCATTAAAAGGAATGTAACTTATTTATCTCATTCTCTTCTCTCTTTCTTTGCTGATGGTATGAACCACCTATCCTCCTCCATTAGGAGCTCTGGAGATGACTCTAAAGGATATTATCATTTCCTTTTCTGTGACATTTTCTGTTGGGTTGTAAATATATAATGATCCAATTACAGAGGTCTTGCCTAATGACTGACCTGTGCTGAGTTTATTCTTTACAAATGTGCTATAAATAACTAGATGTCCATTTAAAAACTAATACCAGCAGCAACACTATAAATCAAAACACTCCATACCTGGAGCATGCACAGCCTGGAAGTTACCACAGTATCTTGGACCAAGTTTGATAATAACTTCCAGAGTATCCATTGATATGGGTTCTTCAAAGAGATAGGTAGGGCCAAGGCGCCAGATTAATGATGACTTTTGTCTCCAAATCCGAGGGGTCGCAACATACCCATACACATCCACAAATGAGGAAGGATCCATTGAAATAAAGGGTCCCGGCAAGGCCTGGATGTAGAGCATCTGGAGAAAAAAGCAGGGTGGAGAAAGGAGCCAGTGCTTGATCTCAGAATTAGTCAGCTAAGTATAAGTGATGCAGCATAATGAACTATGTTCTCTCATTAAAATAAAATATTTTATCTATGAAATTAAGAAGAAAAATCGAATCTAAGAAGCATGCAGCAAAACAAACTACCAAGTGCAGGTATAAGCAAAAAGCTGGCACTCCTTCGGGAACTGGATAAGACACAGAGGAGCCCCAAAAGTCCCTCTCTTATTTCAGTCATTTCACTAAAACTTAAATGTCCATTATTGACACCTTAATGAAGCTCCATAGAGTAACAACAATTGTAGTCATATAGCTTAGAAAAGAAAAAATAAAACTATCTGCAAGAGATGCGACAAGGTAGAAAACTCCAAAGAATTTTTTAAAATCCCCCAGACCACTGATGGGAAGCAGTTTTGTGCTTTTGGTGTATGCAGTCTACTGCAGCCCTTATGCCACAGGTTTGCCAGCACTGTGAGTTACAGGATATCAGATCAACACCAAGAAATCACACATTTGTAGACTAACAAATATGCCCAAATTAAAATTTAAAACAATATCAGTTGCTCAAATAGAGAACACATATTTAATAAGACATGAACAGGATCTATACACTGAAAATTTCAAAAGGATCATGAAAGAAGTCAAAGAAGACCTATACAAGTACAGATACATACCATGTTCATGGATAGAAAGATTCACTACAGTACAGGTAAAACTTTCTTCTACTTGATCCAGAGGTATAATGCAATTCCTATCAAAATCCTAGAAAGATTCTTTTGTACTCAGAGACAAGCTAATTCTAAAGTTGATATGGAAAACACAGGCTCTAGAGTAGCTTAAGCAATTTTGAAAATGAATGTGAGAAAGCACAGTACCCAGGAACAATTCATATGGTCTAACTGTAATAACCAAGATAGTGTATTGATCCAGTGACAGTCAGAGATCAATGAGCCAGAACAGGGAACCCAGAAATAGTTCCAAAAATTTGCACAAACCATTTTTGACCAAGGTGCAAAATCAGTTTCACAGTAAAAGAACAGCCTGTCAACAAGGAATGCTAAAGCAAGAGGCATCCAGATAGGCAAAGAAACAGATTTCTACCTCAACCTGAATGCAAACTATTCTAGAATAACCCAGGAAATTTGGCAAACTCTACTTAATGGTTCAGTTACCCAACTCAAAAATAGTCCAGTGTAGCTAATCTGGGATGCATGCCATGTGGGAGAGCTCGAACGAGCCTGTCCAGGTGATTCTAGAACGCAGCCTAGGGGAGACCCTCACTGGAACCTGAGTGGAAAGCCAGCTGTCCCTGCCCACCCTGCCATCTGTCTTCTTCTGCCTGTTCTTATTGGTCTGGCCCCATGTCCAGCCTTCTGCCTGTCTGTGAGCTCAGCCCACTTTACTGTCCTTTCCGTGACTGTGCTCAGGCAGCATTTTCACTAGCAAATGTGTTTCACTAGACATCACACCTGCTCCTAAAGAAGACACAGAGCCGAGTCAAGACCCTCCAGAGTGACAGGGCTGGGAGGCCAGTGCAGTGGGGGCAGGAACATCACCTCACCTTGGCTGAGCCAATGGCCTGTCCATCCAGGTAGGTGGAAACAGTACAGTTCCTTTTCATTTCCTTGGTGACAACCACAGCCAGGTGATGCCACTGACCACAGGTCAACAGCTGGCCACATCTGACCTGAAGCTGGCGCCCAGCAGAAGGCTCCATGGTGTCCTCGGGCTCCATGACATCTGGAAGAGAACACAAATGCCAAACCATCCTGTGGTATCTCACCCCAGGCTGGGCACCTAGGGAAGAGGCCTAGCCCTCTCATGAAACATGACACCATCAGCAGTAGCAGCCATGGCTTCTCAAGCACCAGGCTCTGGTTATTTTATTGTCACAAGAATACTGTGAGGTAGGTACTTTGCTGTTCCCATTTCACCCTCCTGAAACACAGAGAACTTAGGTAATTCACCCAAGGTTGCCCTGCCAGGATTCAAACCTAGGGGACAGATTCCAGTAAGGTGCCATACCACAGCAGAGAGCTTCCATGGTGATACACACGTGCGGCCAAGGCCTGGGGGGCCACTTGCTATGGCCAAGGATGTGACTTATTTGGACTTTCCCTGTGCTGCCTAAGTAACTGACTCTTGGGATACCAGACTGTCAGGAAGCCTGGATACTCTGGGGCCCCCTCAGACAGGAGAACTTGGGGAGCAAGGCCAAGGGCAGGACAAGGAGCAGGCAGGAACAGCAAACCTGAGTTCCCTTCATGGCCACTCTTCTGGGAAGCCATGAGCTGCACGAAGCCTCAGGCACAAAAACTTTACCTGCTTCACTATTCCAGCAGGGGTGGAACCCAGGGACCACGCCCCAAAGTTGCAGAGACCAGAAACCACCAGGTTTTACACGCATCCAAGGTCAGAGCCTGTAACTCAGCCCCCTCTACCCTAGTGCAGCAACACCACTTTGGATCCCGAGGCTCACCCAGGGGCTGGAACTCCTTCTCTTCTGTGGACACCACCAAGGAGAGGCTGTCTGGGCAGAGGCTGGCAGAGAAGCAGACAAAGGGCTGCTCGGTCCTGGCCAGGTGGCGCACCAGGGTGAGGAAGCGGAGCGGGTGGGCCTCCGTGAGAGCAGCCTGCTGGCTGATCAGGAACCAGCAGGAGAAGGTGAGGCCCCCAGGGGGAGGGAAGGGCCTGGCACCACCTGGCACAACACAAGCACAGCCTTAGGCTTTGACCCTTGGGAGGTGTGTGCTCACTGGGCTCTGGGCTGTGTCACCCACAGAGGCGCTGGGCCCAGCCTGCTCACACACCCCCATCCAATTCACAACCCAGGATGCTGATGCCCGTCACACAGGGCAAACAGGAGGCTGCCTGACATCAGCAGGGTCCTTGACGTGATGCGTTTCTGGTGGACCGTAGCACGGCCTCAACGCCTTTTCCAGTCTGCTCCCTTGCCCTCCACAATCTCTGTTGCCTTGCCATAGAGCAGACAGGTCACCACTGTCCCCAAGGCCTGTCACCACCTGGATTTCTACTCGGTTGATCTGAAGCCAGGCTTTGTGCTCCACAGGGCAATGGACACTTGACAGTGTCCATTTGCTCTGCTCTAGGGAAGTGCCATGTGCTCTGCCCCATAACAGGGCTGGTGACACAAGTCGATGGCAGACACCTGGTGCCAGCCCTCCTGGGAAGAGGTCTGTCCTGAGCCCTGAAGGCACAGCTCTCAGCACCCACCTGCTATGGGAACTAGAGTCCCTCAAGGCGGGAAATGTGCCCGTCTCTGCCCATGCCACGTGCCACATAGTGAGTCAGACCCAGGCTCAGCGACCCAGTCACCGTGAGCCTCTCAGTGTTGACTCCGTGGCCAGGTTCTGAGGCCTTGTGACACATGGTGACCAAGGCCTTTGTCCAAGAGGGTGCAAGCAAACTCGGCAGCTAGAGGACAACCATCTGTGGATACTCAGGACCAAAGAGAAGATTCACACTTTCTGGAAATGTTAAGTGGAAACTGACCACTGGGGCCACAGGAAGACTCACTCCTGGAGCCAAAGGGGACCTACCTGTCCCAATCCCTCCAGAGATAGAGTACTCGGTACTGGCCCCCATAACAGTTGACAGGGTTGGAATAAACAGGCACCTGGGAAGAGGAAACCATCTCGGATCAGCAGCTGCCCACAGCAGCATGGCTTTCTGGACCACAGGACTCAGAGACCACATCCCAAGGACAGAAAGCAGCTGCTGGTGTTAGGAGACCCTGAAGAATGGGCCTAAAGTAGAAGTGGGACAGGACAGCATCGTGTAGGAGGCAGCCACAGTAGGGAAGGGCGCTCTGGTCCTCCTAGCTGGGGCTGCTGCCCTGGGAAGTCTCAGAGGCAGATGCCCATGATTGAGAGAAGTGGGACAAGCCAGGAGCTAGTTTTGCAGTCCATGTTAAATGCACTAGGGGTTCTGGGAAGCTAATAAATTGCTCTCGGGGTCATGGACACATTCATACCCGTAACCCTCCACAGACATGTCAAATTCCACAAAGGATGGAGCCAGGGCTGCCCTCTGTGGCTGCAGGTTGCGTGGGGAGGTCATGGAGATGAGACTCAGTGCCGTCTGAAGGGCTGGGGCAGAGTCCCGGGTTCCCCCGGGGGACTCGCTGTCACAAACCACAGCAGGACCAGCGCTGGCAGGCCCCTCAGCTGTTCCTGGATCTGCGGTTGGAGATTCTACAGCAAGAAGTAAGAAAAAAGACATCCTGGGCCCATGTGTCTGACTCACCTCAGCCAGGCGGAGCACATAGCAGTCCCTGGGCACTTCCAACCCCTCAGGGAACACCAGAGAAGAGCATGAGCTGGCCCCCCTGAAGCGCCCCCTTTCACTGCAGCATGTGCCCCTCTACAGTCCCACCAGGTCCACTCCTGCTCCTCTGCCTCTGCCTTAGCCGTAGTGTCCTATGTGATCTTACAATTGGGCTCTGCAGCTTCCATTTCTCCCAGCTGACTTCCTGAACAGTGTCCTCCCTCTGGTCATCAGCCAGGCTCCCCTCTAGCCCTCATTCCTCCCAGAGTTGTGAATGGTGCAGGAAGCTTGTGGTATGCCCATGGCCTGGGCACACCAGACACCATGGAGTTATGAGGGAGACTCCATCACCGTCCTGCGATCTGGGCCCCAGTGGCAGGCCAGTGTCCCAGCACCCAACTGGACTGGGAGGCAGCTTTTCCCACTGGACCTGGCCTTTCTCCAGGGACCCTGACTCCTGAGGAACATATAAAACTGTTCTTAACCTCATCACTTTCCCCATGGCGGGAGACCCACCCCCTGCCTGTCAGCCTGCTCTCCCATTTCCCTAATGTACCTGAGCACCCAGGGGTTTCTCCACTGCCTTCAGGAGATGCTTTGAGGAGTTTCACTGCAGCCGACAGGGGTCGGGGAATTCCTAGTCCTAGAAACTGCCTGGACATCGAAACATATGGGAGAACCAAGTGAGGACATTGCACAGGCAGAAGTTTTCTCCCTCTTCATCTGAGCCTCTTCCCTGGGCACCCAGAACCTGCTCCCTGTGCCCCTGCTCCTTCTCAATTGCCATGCAGACGGTGTTCCTGCGAGGCCACCCAGAAAGCTGGCAGAGTCAGCATCCTCAAGGGGAATCTTGTGAGGTATGCTATCCACAGGCCTCTAGGAGCCTGCCTGGCTGCACAGTGGCCCACCTGGGTGGCCGCTGGTAGGAGGGGCTGGCCTGTGGCTGAGTAGTGCGATTCTCAGCACTGCCCTCCGTTTGCTCCTTCAGGGCATCATAAGGTCCTTGGAGACTCTCCATCCCCCTCCTGCACCATCCGTGTCTTTACATCATGCACATCTGTTCCTGCTGTAGGCTGCCTTCCCTCCCCCTGCAACTTCCCAGGAACTCGCCTAGGCCTCAGGAGTCAGCCCAGCCTCGCCTCCGTGAAGCCCCTTCCCTGAGTCACTGTTGCCATGTGTAGGCTCTGTCTGCCTTGTATGCACAGACCAAGGTCACGTCTGTGGGCTCCAGTGTTGAGTGCTAGCGAGGCAAGGAGGGGTCTCGGGACACCTGCCCCTGCAGAGGTACTACCCATCACCCGGCAACACACTGCAGGATTCAGGCACACGCACATGGTACCTGAGCACATCAGGCTCGATGGCCTGGGAAGCGAGCTTCTCGAAAATCCTGATGAGACGCACATGCAGGGGGCTGCTGCTCGAGCTGAGGGCCCTGAGGCAGGAGGCCATGAGTGTCCTGAGCATGCCTGCCTCACACATGATCTGCCGGTTCTTCTCTGACTTCACCAGGGACAGCAGGTGGCTGGCCACGGAGCATTGGATCTCTTCTGACAGCTAAGAGGTGTTAGAAAGCAAAGCGGCCATGAGCTCTTGGGCCCAGAGCGTCCTTTGGGAGACTCAGGCAGGCATAGGTGGCAAAACAGGCAGACTATGGCCCATGGCACCAAACCCTGTCCATGTCTGGGGCGCTTCCACGAGTCCCCTGGCCCTCATGGCAGCCTGAGGGAGGCTGGCCTCTGGGGACACCACACTGCAGTCAGTTGCAGGCCTTGGCAAGAGCCCCAAGAGCAGCTGCACAAGACTCAGCTGTGGTATGAGTGCTGCCTGCCTGCGTGATGTTAGGACCTTTCTGGCTTAAATGCTAACACAGAAAAGTCTACGTTTCCACCCAATAATCCAGGCTTGTGCCTCCTCTCAAGGATGGAACGACTCAGGTGCTGGGTGGTAGCTCTCTGTCACAGCCGTCCCGCACCACCCCCACCATCTTCACTCACTGGGCTCCTGTGTTAGAGTGCACCACTGATGCAATGAGTAGAGGTGGCCTAATTGTGTGAGCCTACCTGAAGCACCCCACGGACTCATGTGCACACACATCCGTGTACGCACATGTATGTACACACGCTTGCATGTACGCCCCATGGCTGTAGCAGGTGCGATGGTCCTAATGTCTCCCAGATGTCAGCTCCTCCACCAGTGTTCTCTCTGTCTGCCTCTCGTCCTGCTCTTGTCCTGGGGACACTGAGCTCTCTCTCCTCCAGCGCTCTGCAGGGTTTGAAGCTCCCTCCCATGCTTTGTGGCCCATAAGGAATGTAAGTGAGAAAGCACGAAGTAAGCTCAGTAAGTATTTGAGCAAAGACAGTACAACCATTTTAACAATCTCCTTTTTATATAAGAAGATAAAGCCAGGCTTGGAGACCCAAACCTATAATCCCAACATGTTGACAGGCTGAGGCAGGAGGACTGCAAACTCAACACCCAGCCTGGGAAACTTAGCACCTTAGCACAAGGGAGTGATCCCATGCTGAGACAGGAAGCCAGAGGTGAGGAGGGGCCTGACACACTTCTACAGCAAACCCTGGCTCAGGACCACGCAAGGCTCCTGTGAGAACTGCATTCGCACTTCCTGAAGGTGCCTCCTCTCCACCTCACACAAGGGGACCCTGTGGGATGCACTCAAATCATATCTGGGCCACAGGAGCCCCCTTCTCCTTAAATGTGACATCTCTACATCCAGAAACCAGAAGGAGACCTGCCCAAGCTGGTTTGTGTCCAGCAACTCCAATGTCATGGCTTTCTCTGGGAAGGTTTGTCACAGTCAATGTAATGAGCTCTCTGATGGCCCCCGTCTTTCCTGGGATGTTTTGCCGGTGTCTCCTGCATCCTACCCTTTCTTCTCCATGTGCTGGAGACCAAATGAGCAGTCATTCATCGTGCTCTGAATGTCCCCTCCACCAGACCCGTGTTAGTATATTTGGTAACTGCACTCTTTTAATTTGGGGTGAGAGTTGGGGAGACGGTCTGTGTGAAGCAAGACACAAAAATAACATTGTGTTGCATTATTAATAAGAGCTAAAAAGAAATGCCTATAATCTCCAGTTTTTATTACCAGCACTTTGCTTATTGCTTTGGGACTTTTGGTTTTGATTTTTGGTTGCTATTGCTGTTTGTTTGTTTGTTTGTTTGTTTGTTTTCAACTGAGCAATAATACTTACACTTTAAATAAAAAAACAAAAAAGAGGAAGAAAGGCAAGTTTTCAGAAGGGAGAAACGCTGATCTTGTCTAATGGTGCCACAAGTTTACTCCAAAACTGTTCAATGCCCCGTAATGGAGGAGAGAAAATTGATCGTCCTCATTATTGCTACAACTCTGTCAATAACAATATTGCCTTGTTTTGAATAAAATGTGCTGCTTTTTTTCACTGTTGGTTCCAGTAAAGTGGGGTTTTAGTGAAAATGTGAGTGGTAGCAGGAAACCGGTCTGTTTCCCCCTACAATGGGATTGATTTTCCTATGGCACACGACTTCCAATATAGGAAGGGGGCCATGCTCAATCAGGACTTCATGTAAGAGTGTGGGTCACAGGCCGGCAGTGAGCAGGACCTTCGAGCGAGTGGGTGCTGAGCGGACCTTTCCACTCTCTCCCCTGGACGGTCCACACCTCATCTTGTCCCTGTCCCACTCTCTCCTGGTCCAGATTCATCTGTTCCCAAAGTCTATTCAGGGCCCAATCCTGGTGGGATGGTGGCCTGGATCCTGTGGTGCCGTAGTCCTGAGTCCTGGGTCTTGTGGGTCAGATGTGGTCTGTGCCGAGAAGTTGCTCCCCAGTGTGGCAACATGCTGGGCCAGGTGGGAGACCCTCACATCATAGGGACAATCTCTCACCATGCGATCTCTCACTATGTCACTCTCCCATCTACTTTTGGTCCCCTCCAGAGCTGAGCCTAAACCAGTGCCACGCCCTTGAGCCTTCAGAACTGGAAGCTGCATGAGCCTCTCTTCTTTCCACAGAACCCAGCCTCAAAGACTCTGGCACAGTAAAGACAGTGGACTGCTACAAAGGAGTGATTCAAGGAGGGGACGTTGTGGAGTCTGGACCCAACCATGCTGACCTGACAGACAGAAATCCACCAGGCCAAGCATCCTCTTCCCCCAAAGCTCCTAAAGGAGCTGGAGATTTTATAAGCTGCCTGAGTTTGGATTCACAGTTGATGATGTGGGATGAGAAGTGCCAAGCTCTGAGTGATCTCAGATCACACATTACCAAAGAGCAGAGAGAGGGCTCTGGAGACACACAGGCCTACAGTGTGCAGGACTTAACAGGTGTGCTGGTTTTACCCCCACTTTCTTAGCAGTCGACTCCCCACATGGGCAGAAGATTTCCATGCTAGCCCAGGCCGACCACCCTGATCACTGGTTTGTGCAGGCTCAGAAGCTCATGGTCTTGGGGTAAGACAGAACCCACACCTCCAGGGTGCCTTCCTTCCACGTGCTCAGACAGCAGAGACCAGCACCCAGGCACATGGACCGTGCTGCTGAGTCTTGTGCCTCTTTCGTGGATCATTTATATTTGGTGGTCAGTGCCTCCTGGTAGCAGAAGCCTCGGAACTCACATTTGCAGAGCATTTCTCCTTCTGATGGGACGTCCCTTTGGTCCGCCCTGTCCTCTAGCCACAGAGACATTCTCACACTTTGCACTGATGCCCAGGGCTATGGGGAGTCTGTTCCAGTCCCATCCTTTTGCTGAGATGCTACTTCACTGGAGCAACAGTACACACACCCTCTCTTCCAAGAAACCTGGCAGACTTTTCCCCACAAGCACCATGTCCTTGCTTGCACTGGGGTGAATATCACACGTCACCTAGTTCTCTTTCTTCCTCTCGCCTACCCTTGTCTTCTTCCTCTCCCAGCCTTTTACCATGGTGAGCCAGGATAAAGACCCTGCACCTTATTTCTTCCTGTCTGTCTCTAATCCCCCTCGTGACAGCTGCCCTGCAATTACAGAACCCAGGTGGTACACCTCATCCAGAGGGCTGACCAGGTTGTCATAAAAAGTGATGCACCAATTAGGTGCTGAAAATAGTTAAGACAGCACCAGGGCAGCAGGGAGATTGTTCTCTTAATAAGGGAACAGTGGTGTGCAGAGGCCACGAGATGACTTTCAGGGAAGCCTGAGGCCACACAGGACAGAAGCAACATGAGGGCCCTGACACACCATGCAAAGGGACCCACTCTGCAGACAGCCTAGTCCTGCAGTACCACAGCTCCAGGAGAATCTGAGAATGCAGCCCAGAGCTCCTTGGACTGCCCGTGCTGGAGGGAAAGCAGCCTGGTGACCCAGATGGCCCTTGTTCTTGAGAGTATTGGAGACATCCCAGCCTTCTGGGATGGGTACCCTGAGAAGAGGGAGTCTCAAAAATGACCTCTAGCAGGACTCAGACCACAGGGCCATCCTGTGACCACTGTGTTCACTCCACACTCCAGCCACTAGCCTGGCCCACCCCAAATTGGTCTCCAGGATCCTGCTCCAGGTCCGCAGCCTGGGCCTAACATCCTGGACCCATGTGGCTGTACCCAAGCTCACAGCTGACCATCTAGCCGGCTTGCTGCTGTCCCCTCTGACAAGTGGAGTTGACCATGCAGGGTCCTTATTCTCAGAGTATTGGAGAATACTTCCTTGTCATACGTGAACATTCCTGAGGGCCAGGCACAGGCCTGGCTGTCTCCACTGAATTGTGCCTGATGGACTCAGCTCAAGCTGGTCAGACCTCCCCTCCCCTTTCTGCCACCTGATGGCTAGCCCTTCCTCCATATTTAAGCTGGCTGCTGTCTAAACTTAGCTCAGCTCACCCCCAAAGTGCAGAGCCGGGGGAATGAAGTGCCCAAGTCTTGGCTCACATGTAGACAGCAACCCTTAGTTCACTAGCGGTCTTCTGCGATCAGCTGATCAACAGTGCACTGGCTAGAATTACAGCTAGAATA